TTTCTTACAACGTTGTTATTGTGGGTTACGAATTCGTTTGCAAGTAAAATGTCGCACAGCGAGAAAAGGAAAGCCGATTATTATGTTTGAAAGAGGGCGAGTACCATATAACATGAACATTACTTCCCTATTCTTTTCAATGAACAACAGAAGTGTCATGTTACAATTATTTATGCTATAAAAGACAAACAAAGTATCATATTGCATTCCTTTACGAGAAGTACAAAAGTATCAGATTACATCACGTTCTTCCGAATTCTTCAGAAAATGTTTCTGTTGTGGCCGTTTGTTATTCTGAAATTGCAACAGCCATGAGCCAAACTGTCAGACTTATCATATGGCCTCTACTGAAATTATTCATCTCACGCAAACAAAATATTTCTAAATGGTAACGCAATCCTGACATAGTCGCCTTAATCCTCTTGAATTCTATACTAGCCTTTGAGTCTCTGAGTTTCAACTCGCTTGTTCCCGCTAAACGCCATAAAATAGCTAGGAATTTAGGGGTACATTGTGTGCGAAAAGCCCTCAGATTTAAATGCTTGATATTTACAGCTGAGGAAAGTTCTGCTTAATTGCTTAATCTTCACAGAGGAAAATTCTGCTTACGTGCTCAACTTGATTCACTAAGAGAAGTTTTGCTTAACATAAATGTTGTTAGGTGGTAGATTTTGATTGGTTTTTAGCAGAATGAACAGCACTATACAAAAGAGCAGCTTTGCCTCTTACAGCACTGGGCATTTATTCTCGGTTCCAGGGAAGAGCACAGCAGAGTCAGTTGCGTAGGTGAGAGGATTCCTCCTTGTGGCTCATACTTGAAAGTATTTGAACGTGTGTTCTTGAAGAAAAAATTCTTACGCTTGACATTTAATACAAGTTCACTGATACTAGCATCGAACTTAAATGCATGGCTTGGAAAACGACCTTCAGTTTGTCTGTTGATAAACATTGGTGACGGAATTGAGTCAAATTTAGTGATCACGATAGCAGGTAACCTCTTTGAAATGACTTTCAGTTATTTCACCCACCTTTTTTTCTTTGTTTGCAGTGACGATATTGGAGATACTTGAAGAAAATCTAAACCAGCAACCAAAATGTACAATATGAAACAAATATATGTATTGTTGTTTATATACGTAACAGTTGTATTGGGGAATCCGCTGCAAGACGACTATGATGTACGCGGTAAGTGTTGAGGTTTCAATGGGAATTTTTGCTGGATCATTTTTAGAAGAGTCCACACCCTAAATCAAATTTAAATGTGTTCACTAAACTATAACTACTTATGAACAGAGAACGAATTCTACATTCCAACTTAAACCTAGTTTTGCCGTTTTTCCTCTTCACCCTCGCAGTTTTTTTGCGATTTTTCGGCAGGTGTCTTTGCTAATCGTAAATGGCAGTGCAAGAACACAGCGACATGTGCATGGTGCGCCATCCACAAACATAACTGTCATTTAGAATCCGTATTTGAGAAGTGCCTTATGACTTGTGGTCGCTGCTCAGGTAAGTTATTTTAAAACTATCATCGATCTCAGAGAAGTCATGTGATACACAAACTGTTTGACTGCTCTGGTTGTACTCAGTAGCTCTTAATTTGCTCATCAAGTTTTTTCCTTTCTCCATACTAAAGAATGCTATTGTTTCATATTGTTATGTCTAGCATTATCGAACTGTTAGGAACGGATCACATCCCACGACAATCAATTGACTTGCTCCAGCACTGACTATGCAACACGGACCGATTCGGTACTGCCTTGACGAACTGTACCAACCCCTCACAGATTAACGCAAACAATCACACCTTAGGGCCTGTGCCATGACCATACGGTACGCTTACGGTCCAGAAAACATATTACAATATTTTCTTAGGGGCTCCGCTTGCGCGCTCCTTCAGAGCGCGTAGGAGCTCCAATACAATGTGGGTGCATCAGTAGACAGCGGTCGAATCAGGGGTAAATCACATCATCTCTACGATTTTATGTTTTTAGGTTGTAAGGACCGTGCGAGCTGCAGCTGGTGCAACTATAACAAACAGCTTGGCCATTGCAACAATCCTGCATTTTACACGGACTGCAAATTCACGTGTGGGAAGTGCTAAGGAAATAAACACTGGTTTTGAGACAGGTAAAATTGTTAATTCCTCAGTTGAATATCTTTGAAGATTTTAAGGAAGCACGTTAGAGAACTTTTAAGTGGATTTGCTGCTCGTAAATATCACCAGGCGTATATGTACTTGTGCGAAACCATATCGGATAGGGCTTTTGTTCACACATAAAATGCTGCAGATTTCGGGGCGGTTTCTGTAACGGAGAGAAGCTTCACCGCGTCGATCTTCGAAATGAATCGTCACCTATCAAATAGGTTCTCGGCCGTTTCTCTTCATACCAGGTCGGAATACTTCTCATGTCGACATAATAAGCTGTACGGTATAGTGTAGACATAAAATACGTTGCAAATTTACAATTAGCAAAAACATGTTTATGTAAAATATTTAAATCATTATAGTTTTACCCGCAAAGCACCCTTTGTCTTTGCGTTCCTGATGGAATTGGAATTGAGAAATATTGGTTTTTGAGAAGAGGGGAAAACTGAATCCACAGGGAACAACAACATCAACCCAAATATGACCCTATCGGCTCTGCAGCTGGGGGCCCGTTTCTCAAATCTCCGCAAGAGATAATTTCCGAGGCTGAAAAGTTGTTTCGGTCATTCTAAAAAGCTGGTCTTTATAAATACTTTCCAGATATGAAAGGACAACGTTATTGCGATGTTTCACGCTTAGAAACATATTTTGTCGTAAATATATTCATTCAAGGAATTTTGGCAAACGCCGGAAATAGTCCCGTAAAGGTTAAACGCTTTCGAGAAGCGCACGCCGTCTCAAAAACGGGCCAGCCATCGGTGAGAGACGAGCGCTCTCACCAGCGCGACAACCTGCTCGCCTAAGAGGAGAATTACGTCGTCAAAACAGATTGATGGTCAGTACTTAATATTTTGTTTTTGGCAATTCTATCTTTTCAGGTCAGATACAACTGTCTGCAGCTTCGTAAAACGGGGATTAAAAGCGTAAGGGACTTCTAAGCATATACCGGTGGATATGTAATCATGGCAAACTAAAGGAATGCAAGTAATTTTTGAAGCAAAAGAAGCAAAAATAGCCCTTGAACATATTGTGGTTACTTTATTTAGCGAAAATTTAGCGAAATAAAGTTTTATTTTCTGAGGGTAAAGCCTGTTTAAAAGAGCGAGGAATTCAGGAACAATACATCATATTCGTCGAGAGGACGGTTCGGTGTTCACCTCGTTCTCTTCCCAATTTCAGTAATCCACGCTTTTTCGACACTTTATATGAAGTTCCGACATAAAAAGCAGTGGCCTGGCCCCCGAAGGGCGGGGGGGGGACTTGAATATAAAAAAGGTGAGGATGCTCGTCGTCTCGCTTAGGATGGTAAATTTCAGATTTTAGTTTCGCTTAGGGTGTTGAGGGAAAATTATCAATATTCTAGCCATCAGGGTCTCGCTTAGGGTTGCGCGCTCAGATTAGTCTCTTATAGGGGTCAAAAAATACGCGAGCCACGTAGTAATTGCTTAGGGTTAGTTGGGTTAATTGGTCTCCCTTAGGGGTCAATTTCAAAATTCTCGACGAACATCCCCCCTTTTTTTTATTCGAGTCCCCTTCCCCCCTGGAGCCCGGCCTTGACACCATAGATCATTCTTTTAATTTTTGTGCTTTATTTATGTTTTATTCTATGGTCCATATATGGTCCATATATTGTCCTCATCTAAACTCGTTGCTGTTTCTATTGTAATTTGCTAATCCCTCCATCAACTACTGTTGCTTCCATCTATGCCAAGAAACGAAAACAACAGACACTCCATCACAGTGCTTAGAAGTACTTCTTTCCAACATTTAGTCTGATACTTCTTTCATCGCATTTTAATGCGAAGAAATGTACTGCAAGAGCATAAATTGTTTCATCCACTTGCAACTCATTCTGATCCAACCTGAAGACAGAAAGAGTACATCAGTGACACTCAAACCAGGAAGATATTCTTATTACCTTTTTGGACTTGTTTACAATGCTTCGCCGGAAGAATTTGCGAAAAATTCCTCTCGCTGAATATTAAATAAATGTGACTTGATTCTTTTGGGAGGTGGTGTGGTCATGTGGTTCAGGGCTTTGGATTTGATATCTGGAGGACCCATGTTCAAAAGTCACCTAGATTTGTTCTCGGTTGTTTCAAGTAAGATTCAGTTACTTTAGGTGCTGCATTTTCTCAGCAGTGAAAAGGTTAACTTTAACCAGTTGGGATTTTTGTACTTGAAAGTTCTACTTTCTCTATTTCCCCTACAAATATCTCCAATAAACAAGAGGTTCTAAATACATTGATGTTGGTCTAAATGTATTGTTGGTCTAAATGCATTGATGTTGGTCATTTGCCAGTTCGTACAATGCAAGGCAATACAATACAATAAAATACAATACAATACAATACAATACAATAAATTTATTTATCCACGTTGATAATTAAAGCTATAAGCTTATGGGGCGGTGCATTAAAATAAAAGAGGAAAATAATAAATACTGTATCTTACTACCCTTGTAAAATGTTACAATTGTTTCAAAAATGTTCTAAAAATCTTACAATCGCTAAATCTTATTAAAAAAAAATTAAGAATAACGGCTCTCCATCCCTCCCTCACATATTCAGTCCATATTCCCGCTCCGTTACCACCCGTGATTCCGCATACAGTATATATTTACTATAAAGCCCGCGGCAAACGTCAACACTTTACATTTAGGGCCTGTTTACGTGGTGGTGGGGGACCCCAGGTAAGTGAGGTAACCTGCCTAACCGTGGTCGAAAAATAAAACGCGTTTACATGCAATCTTACAACCCCGGGGTGCTGGGGTGAGGTTTCTTGAGGTTGTTGTTGCGCTTGCAATTAAGAAGTTTGAGCAGAGGCGTCCCAAGTTCACCTCTCGGACACATATTTATTTATTAGCTTTCCATTCCTCGTGGCTTCCGCTCTTACGCGCCCGCTTATGGAGCTTATTCCTTGTATTTATCCGTTCCCTGATCACAGCAGTGATGGATGGATTTGATTTGCGCTTTAGTTTCAGAGTTTTTATGGTGGCATGATTATCAAGACATGTTAGAAAGAGGTTGTTAAAAGCATCCACTCTGTCATCCACTGAGGCCATTAATTTCACAGTTTCCCATGGTACTCGTGTGATGTCAACGGAGAACTGGTCAGCAGTACAGTTTTTGAAACTCCGCGTTGTGATGTAGATGGGTGGAGGCTTAGGCACTTTCATATCAAGGACGATATACACTAGGTAGTAGTCGCTAATGGTGAGGTCTAAATCACCTCAGGGCCTTACTATGTCCTTGTTTGATACCATGACAATATCCAAGAGGCTACGTGACGTCATAGTGACCCTAGTAGGTCTGTCTATCAACTGGCGGGCGTTCACGGAGGTACAGAAAGACCGAAGAGCGTCATCCTTGGGGGTTTTGAGTAATAGGTCACAATTTGCATCCCCAGTTAGTACGATGTCCTTGTTACGGGATAAGGCCTTCACGTATGTTGGCATGAGCTCATTTTCGAGACAGGAAAGGCCTCTGTCCGGGGATATGTAAACTATGCACAGCAAGATCGAACGCCTATTCTTCTTTTGGATTTGTAACCAGAGTTGATGTAGATCTGATTCGCCGATGCCAGCCAGATCCACAGTCACCAGCGCACAGTCACCAGCGCCGGACTTCCCCAAGCGATCCAGCCTGAATATCGGGTAACCTTCAATCTGGACACTGATGTTGGTAATGGTCGAGAAATGGTAATGATCTCCGAGATCGTAAGAACATCATATTTGTTCTCTAGCGCCATTTCGCTGTTCTAAGTCACCAAGAACGATGTTTGTCTTGGTTTCCTGGTTTCTCTTGTTTAAAAAGAGCTCTTGGTATCGACTTTGTTTGTTCAGATCGGAAATGATCTCTCAAACTCTTCAAAAACAAAAAGGACAGAGTTCGTCAGGTAGAACCAAAGAAGGAATATCATTATTATAATTTATAAGAACAGCTCTGAATGTTTAGTGCTTTAAATATTTTACGTATAGATAAGTTCACACGTGCGTGTTAAGGACACGACTGCGATTTCCGAATGAATGCAAAAATGGAAAAAAAAACGAAGCTGTAACTTCAACCTGGGCCCCCTACGGGAAGTGCCTGGGTAACAATGAAGTTAACTGTGAGTTGACACCATGCGCTAAAATGTACTTAAAATGCTTTAAGTGAAATAGAAATATAGCATTGGGTAGAGCTATCGACGTAGGGTATGAACAATGTAACTTAGTGAATGAGAACACAGTTCTTTGTTTAATGCATTCGTAGTGAGTGTCAATGTTGGATTCATTCCATTGCAACACTTTTTGGCACCCTAATTCTATGACATGACTGACATGTTAAAGAGGGACAATACCCTGATACTCTGATTGGTGCAAGCATAACCAACTGCTGTGATCTCTGTTCTGCCACCCCAGCTTAGCCTCGATAGGGCAGTATAACGGTAAAACATTAAATTTAAAGAAACTGGCACCAAAAAGTTACAAGGATAATTGCTATATTATGGGAAATAAAATCCTGTTATCCTATTATCCACTCAGAGAATGATTCCGGGTAGATACTATCTATGAAAATTCCAAATATTGATTTATAATGTCTCAGCTGTAAACTAAAGAAACTCTTAAAATAGTAACGATGGTCTTGAAATGTATTGGCGTGAAAGCACAATCTTATTGATGCGATCCAGATAATGCAAATATTTGTTTTAAGACAATTTTGTGATCTCAACGGTGCGAGTAACAACGATGCTGTGATCTTATTGGTGCCAGATACATACTGCAAATATTTGTTTTACTCCAATGCTGTGATATTATTGATGCGAGCAACATACCAATCTATATGCTGACATAGAGTTAATTTTATTTCATAAATAAAAGAAATGATTAAACTCTGAATGAATGAATAACTTTATTTAAAAAGGGAGACGCAATAACCGGCCCTCAAAAATAGATTTTAATATATATGCAAGAGAAACGATATTTAAAGTAGAATAAACTTTTAACACGTAATAAAATTGTAATATATAAATTGATAGAAGAGAGTGAAATATACAAAATACTCGACATGGGATGTGGTTGGCACCATGAAGAACATTTACAATAAATAGAAAAGCAGCAAATCGAACACAGTAGATCCTTCAAGTGCTCCGGGCGGAGGATAGGCGTAGGAGAAATAGATTTCGTAATTTAGATTTGTGAGAGGAGGGAATAAATTTGAATGTCGGCGGAGAAGAAGTAGAGAACTCTCTAAGGTCGGAACTAAGTTCATTGAAGAGTTTAGTAGCACTATAGGCAAGTGTGCGTTTCCCAGAGTTACCATGTGGGTATGGCACCTTTAAATCATAGAGAGGGCTCTTGTATAACGGCCCAAAGGTCCACGCGAATCAGAAAGAAATTGAAATCTGTTCCTGAGAATGCTGAAAAGAAGAAAAAGTTTCCTGTATTTAATGAGATCAAAAAGGGGGATCCACTTCAGTTTCAAAAATAAAGAAAGAGAAGCCGAAGAGCAGTTGGCATCAAGGAGTATACGCCCAGCACGCTTCTTAAGACAAAGATGGAGATGGTAGGAGCAGTTATAGAGTTATAGAATCTTAAAGCAGAATCAAAGTTGAGGTAAGGCTGATACGACGGAGAAGAGAAAGCCTACTGCTAACGATGCAGCAGATTGTATCCATATGGTGCTTTAATCAGTCGCACCTAGCATTAATTCGTTTGTTTATCTATTATGGTCCTCAAAGTATGAATATGTAAAAATATGGACACTGCTTAAGTAGTAGTAAAAATAAGACCTGAAAACAAGGGAAAACGTTGTCAGACCTTTTTCCATTACTGCTTTAACAGTGTTCATTACGGCGAAGATTGCTTTCATATGCATTTAATAACCCGCAGTTCACATATGTGATTTTCATTTATTTACAGTCATGGAGTCCTTAAAGTGCAGCAGTATTCTTTTTATACGGTATTCACTTTACTGTATGTTTTATTTTACTGTAATTGTTTTCTATGAATTTAAAATAAGAAAAAAAAGATAAAATTGAGGAACTTGACAAGGGCAGCAGGTCCGTTTGAGTCCTGATTACCCTTTTAATTTGTTCAGTTTTCGTGATTTCAGGAAAACAAAGACCGCGTGGAATGAAACAATTAGCTCAGTTTGAAGCAACCTTTACCGAATCGGTCGGAATGGGTGAACGAAAATTGAGAACTAAAATCAGTCCCATAGGATAATTTTAGTGACATTGGCTTTTCATTCCACGGTGTTTTCAAAATGTTCACCCAACGCTGTAGTTAATGTTCACAACTTTTGATGGTGGATCGATCGTTTTCAAAATCATCGGACTTTGAATTCTGATATTTACCTTCGGAAATCATCGGGCTCTAATTGGAAACAGTTTCAGGGCGCTCCTAATTATAATTTTTTTTACTACTCTACTCTTTTTACTACTCTATAATTCGTTCAAGTATCTGGGCGTAATTATCAATGAGAATCTGTCTTGGACTGATCATGTGGATTACATTAAGACCAAAGTGTCTCAGAGGCTTGGCGTTTTACAGAGAATAAAACATCTTCTGCCAAGAAATACAAGGGAACTCTTTGTAAAAGCCATGGTGCTGCCAATCCTTGATTATGCAGATGTGACTTGGGGGGATAAATCCAACACCACTCTGATGAACAAGATCCAATTACTCCAGAATAAAGCAGCTAAATTAATTTTAGATATGCCAAAGCATTCATCAGCAACAGAAGCTCTTGATCTACTTGGTTGGGATACATTGGAAAAAAGGCGAAGATCACATCGTCTATTTTTGGTTTTTAAGTCCTTGAATGGACTAATTGATTGGAATTTTAATTTTAATCATTTTAAAGATATACATGATTATAACACTCGTTTTAATAACAACATTTGTAAACCACAATCAAAGCGTACATGGGGTCAGCATCGGTTTGTTTGTCATGCAGTAGATGACTGGAACGCTCTCCCAGACGGCATTAGGAACATTTCCGATTTTTCAGTTTTTAGACGTCTTGTTAAGAACATGTAGTCTCTTCTATTGATTATACCCTTTTATCCTATTCTTGATAACCATATTTATATTTTCTGTTATCCTTACGTTAGATTTATGCAGGGCCTCACTGAAAACCACACTTTGTGACGTGGGCTCCCTGTCAAAAGATCTTATTTATTATTATTATTATTATTATGGCATTTATGGGTACTTTAAGTTTTTTAAGTCTATCCTCCTCATTACCTAACTAGTTTGTTCCAATGTGCAAAACTGATCTGCGCTAAAATGAAAAATCTATTCAGAAATGACAGACGAAGGTAACCTCGAACACGCTGAGCTTCTGGGCACTTAAAGTTGTTTTCCAACACCAAGAAGTTATGCCCTTAAGTGATGTAGGGTAGTGACAAATTTGACATTATCGTGAAATTTCGATAAACCAATTAAGTACCGACACAATGAATTTCTACCAAATGTGCACTCAGACGTTTACTAAAGTATCGGTTCTCGGAAATCTATGATTATTTAGAGGTAACTGTAGATTTAAAACAAACGATCTCACTGAACCCGGTAAAATTATGTCTATTGAATACTCAAACCGGAATACCATCTTCGAATAGCTATAATAATCAGAGCTGCCATACAGCTAGTTATACTGCGCTTTTAAATCTCAAGAAAAATGATGCAAAACAGTGGTGAATTTCATCGTTGTACAAAACACCAATCATTTCAGATTTCAAAATCATTAAAGATGCTTTTGTTGTGTATTAGGGTTCGATAAACTACTAGAGAGCAGTGCGTGAATCAGACCATGTGCTCTACACAAATGCTTCATACAATGAACTTAATTACGTACAGTGATATCTAAGCACAATCACGTGACTGCGGTTAGGGGTGTGCTTACCAATAGAACACAGCTGGGGTATTCATCCAACAAGGAACAACACTACATTCCCCCACACTTATTTCAAACGCTTGCTAATCAGTTACTATGGTCATATTGTTAGAAGAATTATTCTCTAACACTCGGTAGAATCTCCTTTATTTTCTGGTTGAACTCCTAGTACAATTCTTACTTTCGGGAACTAGCCCAGTATTGATCTTTTCACCACAGTTCAACTTATTCCTTTCGACATAAGTCTACACTGTTCTATTTTGCTAAATTCTCTGATTGAGATATGCTGTGCACCAGC